TGTGACGTCACCTAACAGCTTCGTGGCTAAATTGTTTGGCAAAGAATTCGGCGTTGGCGCCAGAATGCCAGATTTCGCACCTCTTTCTTGTGGGTTTTAAGCAAACGCGCAGTGAAATGGGAGGAACTAGAGTTTATTTTGTCATAAGGTAGTGTGATTATGCATGACACGAAGTATTTGCTAGTCTAGTACTGGAGAAATTAGCGTTTGGATGTGCATATTGCGGCTTTAAGGTACAACGCGTATTAAGTGTGCGTGCATGTGCTTGCACATCAGTTTGCATATCTTAATATCAGTGTATTGGTGTGTGTTTAATGGCTTCGCATATCTTTTTCACTAGGTCTGTTGTGATATCACTGAGGATTCTACCGAAGCTGTTTGCTTCCTTCCAGCCGTATCGAACAGGAATTGACACTCATTCCGTAGTAATGTGAGTTTCGTGTGCAACACTGTTTGTAGTGAAGTTCTATATTAGCATTTCACTAAAACCTGGAGAATACAATATGCTTATAAAATGGTTAATTTCATGATTTTGTATTGGATGTGTGACATTTTGTTGACTTGCACCAGTGCACAATTGTAAGGGAAAAAAACACATGTTAGATAATGGTATTGGGATCAGTTTTGATCAGTTTGGACAATCTTTTATTTGGGTACAAGAATAATTATTGTTATCCTATTAAAATTTATCAAATTGTTATGAATATTATATGTATACTGTATATTTTTTATTGGTTATTTTAGGTGGGCCGAAAGAGAGCACAAGATGATGCAGCATTTTTTCAACAATCTAGTCACGTGCATAGAGAATGTGCGATCAGGCACTGCCGACTTTACACTGTATGTAGTATGCCATGAAAACACAGTTGAAATCAGTACGCTAGGTATATTAAGTGTAGGAATGACTAATACATGTTTAGCATCATGTGTGTATCCGTGTGTTTGTATGCATTGCTAATTAAACTACAGACACTCCCAAGCATGGGGAAAAATTGTCGTAAAAGCGTCATTTGATTTGACGTAAAAATTAGTCATGAAAAAGTAACGGGTTTGTCACTCGATGATTTGTTCTCTGTTCGTTGTATTTTCGACGTGTGTATCGGCGAGGAAGCGATTGTTGTTCTGAGTGCGTCTGCGTGTTTCGGCAGGTATCCACACGTCGTACAGGTGCAGGTGCGGCTGCAGTTTCTCACACACATTTTCTCCACGCTCGGCTCGCCAGACAGCTTCAGTAAGTACTGCGTCGTTACCGTGGCAGCAGCTCGTAGGAGAGTCGATCCTTGTTGGTTCCCTCACGCGTGCAGTGCGGACCGTATGCTTGAGTGTTTCCGTTCGAGGGCCCGTTGTCCGAAATGGCGTGAATTGCCGCGACCATCGTTAGTCTAAAGTGTCATGACATTTGAGGTGAAGTGTTGTGCAAAAGTTATGACATTTTAGATTTTTAAGGTCGCAACTATTTATGATATTTCTGACAACAGGGCCCCCGGGTCGACATGTTGGGGGGGGGCATGGGCTCGGTAGTTTGACAGACAGCGTGTGAATCTGCCAAGTGCCTTGTTCAACTGTTTGATGCTACAAATGTTCCCAGATTAGTTCTTAATATTCACATTGCCCGCTTCCAACAATACTAGGCTCTCCGCCGATATTCCTTTTTGTCCGTAATCGCCCGAACATGCCGCAACGCTGCTAAACGTGGATTTACGGCGCGATCGGTCACCGTCGTCGCCGCACGTGCGAGTGTCGGTGCGACGACGTGAGCGTGATGCGGTCGCTTCTCGTCTCGTCCGCAGAGCTCAACCAGGATCAGGTGGACACGCTGTGGGCGTGCCTTGCGGAGGACCCGGAGTGTTCCGATGAGCTGCTCAGCTGGCTGCTCAACCAGGGCCGCAACAAGGAGCAGCACGCGATCGGGCTCGAGCTGTTCAAGCACATATTCATCAATAAGGTGAGTGAATTGTGCGTGTGGGACGATTCACTCATTAATATAATTAACGCGGTGCGTGAACGACGTGTGCGGGACGATCGGATGCACTGTTTTCTCTTGTTAATATCATTAACGAGGTAAGTAACAATATGCATGGGACTAGATTCCTCTTTTCACTTATTGATGTCGTTAATGAGCTAAGCGTTGGCAGACAATGCTAATGACATGCTTTTACGAGCCAACCTATTAGCTGGGCTTCAATGTAGCCTGCTGTCTTGACGTGCCAAGAATAAAAGGCTTCTGGGTGGGCTCCACCAGGCCTAGTTCCACTAAGTTAGTCTCTCTTTTCACAATTTAGGCTGCTAGATAACTTGTTACTTGACCTAACCTGTTACTTCACACCCATAGTTGACACTGTCTGGTCTGCAGTGTAGGTAGTGAACATGCGAGCGAGAGTCGACTCTCACAAACGTGATCTCCTGTTACAGATGCCTCTCCTACAGCCTGAGCAAACGACCATGATCGGCTTGAACCTGTTCCAACAACTGTGCAGTCTCGCTCAGTTGACCGACTCGACAACAGAGGGCAGCACGTGCGAGACGGACACGAGTGGCATGAGCCAGCTGTGGGGGATCGCGCTGCGGGCACACAATACCGATGTTAGCATGACCGCGATACAGTACCTCAACTCCTACTACATCAATGGTACATGCTACGTGCGCTCTGACATCTATGCATAGAGTCTAAAAGTTTATTAGTGCTATGGTTGTGCCACTGTCGTTTTAACGTGAAGTAATAAGGTTGAAATATTCATGCGAGATGGAGTCGTAATAGAAAGTAATAGTGAAGAGTGGCAATGAAAAGTTTATCTAGACATATTCTAACTGTACAATCGTCGTACGCGGCGTTGTGAAAGTAAGACACAGTTTCGCCACATTTTGGTGTCGTTATTTGGTGAGTACGCAATAGTTGTGCACACAGAAACAGTTTCTTCGGTGAAGTAACAGTGTGATAAGTGCCAATAAAGAGAAACTGTTGTCTGTCTTATGGAATGTGTGCTTCATACAGTTGGGCAAGGCTCACTGGAAAAGGAAGAGGAATTCATAAATCGCTGTCTAGCTAGCTTGACGAAAGCATCCACAAATCTCGACAAGGTTAGTCTTCTGTATTCTTCTGTAGCCAATAACATCGTAAGCAAATTGGCAGTAATAAAGGTAGTTTTCTTTAGTTAACTTGCACAATTTGCACTTGCACAGATTACCCAAAGTAAGTGAAATTTACACTGTGTTATGAAATTGTTTGCATGCAGTGCATGTTACTATGTTTAAACTGTCTCTATCTATTGCAGTGTCCTGAACCTAGTTTGCTTATCATTCAAAGAGGCCTGGTACTATTGAAGACTCACTTGGAGGTGTTCAGGAAAAAGTATGTGTGAAGATGGGCTGATTGTTTAGTATCATTCCAGACTAATGTCAGTTTCACTAAATAATTGGACATAAAAGATAGATAATTGTTCAATAAGATAATTCTTGATGGAACAATAATTCACGTAATGGTTAGCTGGTGTTTTTATTATTGTATTCTGTTTGTAAGGTAAACGTGATGAAATAGCATGTGCGGTCTCTGTATAGTGCTTCTTACATATAATGAGAATGTTGGATAGCAGGCATGTATTTATGCTTCAGGTATGCCTACCAGCTGCGTGAATGGAGCATGGATGGCTGCGGTATCAGCAGCCATCAGAAGGGCATACTGCAGACGAATGCTGTTCCGATTAGGTTACTGCTACAGCCCGGGGGTTCAACAGAGAAGGTGAGCTGTCATTAAGCTTGCAATCTCCCTACTTCTACTGTCGTGCTTTCCTCGCCCTTTACTTACAGACATGTTATTTTCAGCGCTACTTGATGGGAGTATGTTAAACGAAATATCGTTTACTTTTAGCTAAAACATCACTGCTGAAACCGTACGGTATGGCTTTTATAGATCCCCATCTAACAACTATCTGATTTCCGATATGCTGTGTCCATTTTCAACTGCAGATTATCCTTTGCAACGTGTGTGCTTACGTAGCGTGTAACACAATGCATGCACGTACGTGCGCGTAACATAACACGCACATAACGTAACGGCGCGTGTACGTGCGTGTGCGTTCTTTAAACAAGCCGCTGGTGGGTAGACGCACGTGAGGGTAGCAACAGTGATCACGCTGATGATAGCTCCCTTAACATCGGCAGTAGCCACTGCATTAATTCAGTCCCTGTTTGCGAACACGTGAACGTTGACGTGAAGTTTTTCGTTTCCTCGCCGTAGACGCCGCTGGATCTGATGAGCTGTGATCTCATATCTGATCTACGTGCGGAGGTCACGAGGTGGTGGAGCCAGGTATGTTTGTTACCATGACAACGATGGTGTCGCATACATTATATAATTACAACTAGAGCACTCGGAGAGCACAGACCTCTGCCAAGGCAGCTGAATTCTCTCAATGTGAATTTTTTATTAATTAATTAATAAATTAAGTGGAAAAATAAATAAATAAATAAATAAATAAAATAATTAATTGGATCCGGATTAGTGCGAGCGTGCAGGTGGGGGAGGACTGTGGTTGCCCCTTAGCCTGTGGTTGCGTGTTTGTAAGTCTACAGCCAGCGCACCTAGCGGAAGTGAACTGAAACGTGCATGTTAACAAACCCACAAACCAACACTCAAACACACGCCGGTGAAAACATAACCTCCGCCAAGCCCCTGGCGGAGGTAATAACAGGTTACAGGTAAATAACATTTTAATATCTCGCTTTACAATTATTGCACGCCCTCACCACATCTTCGTGTGGATTCTAGTTTCAGAAGAAGCAGCAGCAACAGCAGCAGCAGCAGCAGCAGTGTAAAGGCCCGTACTCGCCGACAGGTGCCGCCACGTCACGCGGCAGCATCGCGGCCGGCACCAGCGCTGTGGCGGCGGCGACGGCGACAACGACGACGATGCTGCTGACGCCAATCCTCGGTGCTATGTTAGCCGACGGACCCGTGCGCATGATCACGCAGGGTCAGGAGTTGACCCCTGACCTCGACGAGAAGAGCCTCCACGAGATGCAGTTCAAGGACAACCAGGTGGCGTGCCAAGCGGACATCGCAGTTTTATATTTGGGGGGGGGGGCAGGGAGAGGGCAGTGTTGCGTTCGGTTTAGTATCGAAATTTTAGAGCACAGCGACAAGTTGGAGGGTCACCGGGGCAAGGCTTTCATTTAGAGAGCCGGGGGTGGGTCGCCAGTATCAGGTGGGCGCAAGTTTATTGTGTAATGTCCGATTTTAGTTTGATGTGATAGGTTGCACACGTTTGTATTATTTCGTTCTGCTATTCACGTTCTCGAGGTACATGCAGCTTGTTTCCCTGCTTATTATATCGATTGTGAAGTGAATAATATATATGTGTGCGTGCGTGCATGTGTGCGTGCGTGTTTCTGAAACAATCTACTAGATGTCTATAACATGACGTTTAGAGGGATACATTAAATTTATGTAATCTTTTGATCTTTTGTAATAATTTATATCCTTTATTAAAGGAATGTACAGCCTGCATGGATATATGCATTAGATGCTGATTTCATCAGGACGCTAATCGTAGAAGCGTGAGTGATCGTTTGTCTGTCTGTCTGTTCGTTACAGCTGATCTTCGTGTCGGTCGGGGCGACGCGGCCGCAGCGTAAGCGCGAGGGCCTGAGTCCCGGCTCACAGCTGAGTCTGCCGTCTCGTGACCGTCTCCCGATGCTGCTGCTGCTGCAGGAGGACCACTTCGACCAGCTAGTCAGTCTCATGAAGCTGCTCAGCAACCAGGGCGTGAGTGTCTCCTCCGTCGCCGTGGCGATTTCTCGATTCGCGCGGGATCTCCTGTATCGGCGTTTCCATCGCGAATACGATTGGCTCTCGGCAATCGCCAGCCAGTTCTTAGAGGCCGAAAACTCTGTAATGTGACCAGTTAGTTTTATAGCGACATATATAATAGGAGTACGTATAGGGTATAATCTATAAAACTATATTACTATTTATATATCACCCTTTGACAGTCTTCTGTGCGCCATTTTCACAATGGAATCTGTTGGAAATTATTGCTGAAATGAAGGTTATTATATAGCTCAGGTTGCAGTTGATAGATGCGATGATAGTTGACCTGCCATGTTTGATAACATATATGTATATTCATATAGTTCAGTTTTCCAAGTGCAAGTTAAATTATGCAGAACAGAAAATATTGAAATGTTAACAACTGGAGACATAATTATGTCTCCAGTTGTTGTCATTTCAATATTTTCTATATATATATATAGATATATATACATGTAATGTGTATTGCGTGACATCCCTCACTGCCCAGGATGGAAACCGCGGTCAAGTGCTCTCACGAAAAGTCTGGGAGCTGCTGATGATCCTGCCCACGTCGCCGCACATGCTGCGGGGCTTCCAGGAGTTGCAGCAGGGGCAGGCGACCATCGTGGACTGGAACAGGCTATTGAACCCCGACTCGCCACACCGACTGATCTACTCACTGCAGATTGTCGAGGGCCTGGGACAGCCTGATTTTGCGAAGAAGAAGGATCAGGTAACAAATTCATTAGATGACCGTGTCTATGATTATTATATTATACATATATTATATATATTATATCATATTATTAAAGTCTTGTAATTGTAGTTAATGCAAGGACTCGTATTTCGCAAAAATCACAACCGGCAATTTTTAATGAAAGTTAAAAACAACTAAAATCATTGCCAAGCAATTTGAAACGTTTAAGTAGATTAATATTAAGTATATAATTTTTTTTCAAGTAGATAAATAACTTAACCGATAGATTTGCTTGGACGTTAATTAATGATAATTTTGTTTTGCCTGCCTTCTAGCATCATCATACTGGTGATGGTGACTCCAGCATTTTGCCAGCAGAGAGCACCGGCAGCAAGTGGCACAAAGTGGTACGTTAGCAGAGGAAATGCTCAACTAGTTATGCATGGAAAATTGCTGAACACTGCCGATTTCAGTCGTGGCTGCTTGGTACCTTACGCGAATTGTCTAGTTGTTATATGCAGGAGCAGTCACTGCTGTTATAATTGTTGAACAGACTGTCGTAATAATGTAGATATTCGTGTAGCACGTCAGTTGAAATATGCAAGACTGTCGACATGTGTAGTACTGATGTTGCCTTGCTATAGTTTTTAGAAGGCGGAGGTCTGAAGCACATATTCGCTGTCTTCATGTCCGGCGTGCTGCAAGCTCGCGACGAAGTCTGGAACGAGGTATGCATTCATTAATACATACGCACACTAGTCACTAAGTAGTACACACTCATACACACCACTAGTACACACTCATACACACCACTACTACACACTCATATGCACTACTAGTACACACCTATATGCACTAGAAGTGTACATTATGATTGGATCTAGGTTTTAAATTTGCATATCTAGTGTTGTATACAGTGTACTATAACACATACACATGTGCATTGTGATTTGGAGTAGGATGCTGCTTATAATTAGTATTATATGAAGTGTGTCTACTATAAGATGTATGCGTGTGTTGACTGTCGGAGGTAAGCTATCGTTTATATCTCTATCGGATCTGCATAGTGTCAGTCATCAGTGCTAACATGTACATGTACATCTGCCTCGCGTACATGTATATCTGTCTGTGTGCACTGCAGTAGGAGGAGGACTGCCTTGCGTACATGTATATCTGTCTGTGTGCACTGCAGTGGGAGGAGCATTGCCTTGCGTACTTGTATATCTGTCTGTGTGCACTGCAGTGGGAGGAGGACTGCCTTGCGTACTTGTATATCTGTCTGTGTGCACTGCAGTAGGAGAGGACCTGTCCTTGGCGTACATGTATAATCGCTGTCTGTGTGGCACTGCAGTGGGAGGAGGACTGCCTTGCGTACATGCTGAAGACGATCTGTGAGTTTGGCGTCGTGCCAGAGGACATTGAGGCATGCGGCGGCGAGTTGTTTGAGCAGTACGAGACGCCGCACTCACAGGATACGCCGCGCAAGTGCCTGCGCCGCGGACGCAAGGGCAGCCAGGACAAGCTCGATCATACCCCGGCTGAACAGCGTGCCGAAACCTTTTACCCCACCCCCCAACACACCACCCTCCACCCCGCCGCCCCAGATCCCGTGACAACCCACCCGCCGCGCAGAGCGACGACACCCCGCCCCCCTCCCCCGCGACGACACGACGCGTGATTGTGGCGGCATCTAATGTGCATCATTTATTGTTGTCCAACTTCGGAGAAGAGCTGGGGACCATTGTCAGAAACAGTCATCAAATTAATTAATTTAACATTAGCTTCATGATGTTTCTGACAGCGGCCCCAGAGGTCTTCATTCTGGCTACTTCCGTGGTGGGTTTACTTTTGGCTCCACGTGAAAGCACGTGAATCCACGAGTGTCGTCGTTGAGTGCAATTAGTTTTCTCGTTCACTATTACATAGTCTTGTATGTAGTATATCGAATGATAAAATCGAATGGCGGTAGATGACTCGATGCTTAGCAGCAGCTCGTGAGAGCGTGAAGCTATGTCTTCTGTTCTAGGCTGTGCTGGACATGATTCAGGTGGAGCCAGTGCTGAAGGTGCTCCTGTCTGTACTGAATGATGCGGCAGTGCCGAGCGACCCCAACCAGTACCAGCTCGGCATCTGGGGCAAGGCACAAGGTGATCACTCGATGATGTGTGAGCTAAGAGCGTCCAGGCATCGAACGGTGGTTCTGTGACACGTTAAATCCACACTCGTATATTCTTGGTGCACGCCGGATACCGTATCTTGGTGCCAGTTATTTGCCGTTAATTTGTGTTCTCGTGTAATGTTTTTCTTCTGGAACTCATGACTTACTGAACCCAGGGCAACGGAATTTGCATCCCTGCGATACTCTGTCGTACTCTGGCAGCATAATTGCACGATTTATAAGGATAGGAGGATGAGAACGCATTTCGCCATGGCAGCAGTGTGGCTTATGATGATGCGCATGTTTCAGTCGTTCACTACGCGATGACACTGCTCGTGTCGTGGGCGCACTCCAGCGAGGACCTGATGCCAAAACTCTGTGAAACCTTCGCCGGATCTAGTCATTGGTTGAAGAAGCTTGTCCTAGATGCACCAGATGTTAGTATACCCCCGCATCGCAACCAAGAACTTTCACTTCTGAGCCGAGAGTAGAGCTGAGAAGAAAACCGAACAAACAAAATTTAGTATATCTATAGATTGTAGTGTAAATATTCTTAGAATTGGTATTACTATCTTGCATTTAGTTTTTTTTCTGGAAATGGGTAAAACCAAGTATGTTACTACAATGCTAATTATATTCCTCAAACGTATATAATTGATTGAGTACATTTTAATGGTTCAATTAGGTTAATTAAATATAGCAAGTGTTTTGCTGGCACCTGTGTGTGTTGTGTCATGTGAGAGATCATGTCTTGCAGCCCACGGTGCGAAGGGAGGCCTGCGCAGGACTGTATCGGTTGTGCCTAGGTGCGACAGTAGATGGCGTTAGTGGTCAGTCGTTTGTGGTGCCCCTTCTGTCTAGCCTACTCACCTATCTACCTGTCGCTATCACGATCAAGCCTCCACAGAGTGTAAGTGTAACTGAGTTTACAGGAATAATCATTATAATACAGCCTATAAATATACTTAATCTTATATTCAGTAGAGCAATTCGAGTGCTGAGCATACCACTTCATTGATACGAATTTCCTGATAAAATTGCAAACAGTGAGGTTTTAACACGTCAGTAAGAGTCAGTTAAGTGTCACCATAGCAATTTTTGATGTTTCTGACAACGGGCCCGTAGTTTCCCGGCTGTTGGTGGTAACATCGGTGCATTTGTAGGGATTTGAGCAGGAGCTAGACTGTAAGGACCAGGAGCCATATGGACCGGGATGCAAGGACTACTTCTGGCTCGTCTGTCGTCTGGTAGAAAACCTGGATAGGTTACTGGTCATGCGACTGAAAGATGCCACGTCTGACGAGGTATGAAAGAAAAAGCCATTTTACTTTGTTTTTTTGTTAGCAGTTTATCAGCATTGCTGTGTGTAGAGTATGCTGTGTATGATCGAGGTGCAGCAGCTGGCGGCTTTTGTGTCGTTGTTATTGTTGTTTACATCTACCGTGGCTTAGCTGTGTGTATAACGTGTTATTGTTTACATCTACCGTGGCTTAGCTGTGTGTATAACGTGTTATTGTTTACATCTACCGTGGCTTAGCTGTGTGTATAAAACGTGTTATTGTTTACATCGTACCGTGGCTTAGCTGTGTGGTATAACGTGTTATTATTTACATTACCATGGCTTAGCTGTTGTGGTATAGACGTGTTATTATTACATCTAACATGGCTTAGCTGTGTGTATAATCGTGTTATTATTCTATCATCTACGCATGGCTAGTGTGTGTATAACGTGTTATGTTTACAAATCTACCATTGGCTTAGCTGTGTGTTATAACATGTTATGTTTACATCTACGGTGTCTTAAGCTGTTGTAATAACCGTTATTATTTACATCTACCGTATGCTTAGCTTGTGGGTATAACGTGTTATTGTTTACATCTACCGTGGCCTTAGCTGTGTGTAAACGTGTTATTATTTACTCTATCCGTACTTAGCTGTGTGTAACGTGTGAGTTGTGTACATCTAACCGTGGCTTAGCTAGTGTGTATATACGTGTTATTATTTAGCATCTACCATGCATTAGGCCTGTGTGTATAACGTGTATTTGTTTACAATCTACCGTGGCTTAGCTTGTGTGTATAACGTGTTATTATTTACATGTCTACCTATGGCTTAGCTGTGTGTATAACATGTTATTGTTTACAATCTACGCGATGTCTTAGCTGTGTGTTAAACATGTTTATTGTTTAGCATCTAAGCCGTGGCTAGCTGTGTATGTATAACGCTGTTATTATTTACAGTCTACCAGGCTTAGCTGTGTGTATAACGTGATTTATGTTTACATCTACAGC